ACCAATCTGAAGACAACACAGATGGTTAAATCTTTCCTGGCAACAAATCAGTTAAATCTATTAGTGCCTGATAAAGAAAAACGTTTTGTTCTATGCAAAAACCAGGATTTCTTAGATAGAGCCAAAGAGTTCCTAGAACATTCCAAATCCATCATACTAAAAAAATATCCTACTTCCACGGTGTTAAAAAAAGCACGCAAAGTTATAGCTTTGCCTGGAATAGTGGAATCGTTAGACGGTCCTCTCAATCCTCCAAAGAATGTCACCTGCCCTAGATTATTTTTTGAGGTAAAAACGCATAAACCTTCCTGGCCGCTATGACCACTAGTCAATAAAAGATCCCATCCCACGTACCATCTCGAGGCTGCGCTAGCAAAACATATCACTTCTTTGATTCCACCTTTTGAATTCGTAACACATGCCGCTATTGAAGCTAAAGTTACCATCTTACAAAAATTAGGAAACCTCCCATCTAATTCATACCAACTTTACAAAGTCTATGTCATCTCTTTATTTCCGTCTGTCCTGCATTTCAAGGCTGTCATGCTGGCAAATACTCTATTCCTCAATGCTAGTCACCCAATATCACATGTTCTACACTTGCGAGAAGCTCTTTTTCAAGTCATTCATAATAATTATTTCCAATATAATGAGAAAATATGTAAACAAACGCAAGGTGTACCAATGGGTTCCCCACTATCTCCTGTTTTAGCTGAACTGATTATGAGGAATATAGAACATCGAGTTTTTAATGCCCCCTTAACTATCCAATATCCTCTCATGTATAATATACGTTACGTCGATGATGTGTTAATTGTGTGGGACGGCTCCAATGAGAGTTTACAACAATTCATGCAAATGTTAACCTCCATTTATCATTCAATTAATTTTACCATTGAAGAGCAAAAAAAAAACAATAGAATCTCCTTCCTGGATCTAGACATATGTATGTCTTCCGAGCTTACATTCACTGTACATAATAGAAATAATAAAGCACAGCAAATCATACCTGCTACTGCTTACCAGCCATCACACTACAAAAATTCTGCTATTTCTTCTCTAATATCTTCTTCCTTCTACCCAGTCACAAGTGGAAGATGAGTTATCTATCATTTATAATGCCATGTTAAATGCTGGTTATTCATGCTCTAAATTTACATTTCTTCAAAATCGTGTTAAGAATAAATTATTTTCGAAATCTTTTCTTTCTAATAAGGAATACCTAAGAATAGCACACCCCCAAGACCCTATTTAGGTCGCATTTCTTTGAAAATTGCACATATGTTTAGAACTAACAGTTTTGTTCTACCAATAACACCGCCACCAAGTCTAAGAAGACTACTGTGTAATGATAGGGACAGATATCGGTGGAATGAAAAATCGGGAATCTTCCAAGTCCTACTAAAACATGCATTGTCAGGTGAAGAAATCAGTTATGTAAGGGGACAGTCATGTTCGTGTATTCTTGAACATCAAGAAGACATCAAAAATGGCAGGCCAGTTACAGAGTTAGCAAAGAAAGTGCTTGACCGCAATTACCATCAGCTCTGGAGCAAAGCAAAATTACTGAAATGCTGCAACGAATATAAAGAGCTATTTGTTTGAGAGAGTCACTATATTTATGCCACTGAACCGTGCAACTCCCCCAACTCTTGAATTACCAGAAATTTGGGTAACAGCTTTTAAACAACTCAATTCACGATGTTGAAAGTCATTGCTACTCAGATGTCTTTTTGACATATCTTATACTTTATGCATGTTCTGGGCTTTTTTATGGCCTTATTCTTCCTAAAACATGCTTATTTAAAACTGTTTTCCTTCCATGCGCTATGATGCACAAAAGGATTTTTAAATAACATTCAAAAACGAAAAATCAGTTAAACCATCAGAAATATTGGTTCGATAATTTCAAAAATCCGAAATTTGTGAAACCGTCTGATTATAGTTCGAAAATCTTAATCTGTTGTATTCGATAGACCGCCTGAAGACAGTAGTTATATACTACTGAAAGTACTAGCAGATGAGCTCATTTTCTAAAGTCAGACGAGTTCATTCTCCATGACTCCACTCCTGTAACGCCACAACATGTAAGTGTTATAATCATATGAAATGTTTTTAAATTAGCATCATCCAGTAATTACAAAGACAAGTAAGAATTCTTTGTAATTGCTTCTACCAATCCTAAGCATGTAGTAAACAATTGGGTTACATAGTCTGTTAGATAAATATTAATCAAATGTGTAAAAATAGGATGTATACAAAATATGACTACTAAAATGTTTAAGCAGTTACACACTCCATAGCATATACTTCATTACAGTAATAAAAAATATTACACAATTTCCTCTCAAAAATTTTTAATGTATGGAAGGAGACAGTAGATAATGGACTAAAAGATATGCAATATTAAAAAATTTTGTTTGTAAATACTGCTCTTCTTTCTCTGAAAATAAGTCACACATATATATTTATAGATTTTTTTCCACCTTTTTATTTATACATTCATACATATTTCTTCTTTGATGTCTTTCCTCTTTTTTTTTTTTTTTTAGACGATCTACTGCTTTTTTTATTTATAGTTTGTTCCATTAATATTCTTGGTAATTTGTATTCTCACATAACCGCACTGTATTCAACTGCATTTTTACTTTATCAATAATTGATTCCTTTATTTTTTTTTTTATAAGTTAGTTAAAGACACAGTCTGTCCAAAAAAAATTCTTGGTAACCACCATTTATTCTTATCACGTGTTTGATGACCAGAACTTTCTTTAGAGGCTACTTGGCCGTCAGGTTTAAAACATTCCTTAAAAAACACAGAAAATATCCAATTAAAAATTATAAAACTAAAATTGGAACAGTTGGAATAGTCACGAAGCGCTACATATTTGAGCCAATGGCATAGTATCATTTTTCATGAGTGAAGATATAGAGGGCAAAGAAATAGGAACATAGGGAATTTCCCTATTTATAGTTTGTGGGAAGCTGCAATGGGTCTGAAGATGATTATCCTCAGGAAAATGGTTCCCCATTCCAGGAGCAATAGCTTAATGTTTTTAATTTAGAGATATTTAGTGAAATTTTTTAAAAGAAAGGGTGCAATGAATGAATAACTGCAGAATTATTTAGTTATACATAGAATGCTAACATTTTAAGTCAAATCAGAGTGAACAAATCATTTCCTATTCACTCACTCAGGAATTTTGAGAAGGATTTGGAGGTAATTTTACTCATGCATTTGTGATTTAGGGTTGTCACTAACCTATTTTAGGTAATTGGGGTAATTTTAAAATTTGAAGCCAAATGGCAAATTATTTAATAGAGCTGGTAAATTATAATTTTGCCAGAATTTTTTACAACAAATGTATGAATTATGGACAGATAATATCAAAACATATAAGAGTATTGGATCAATAAATACACAACACGATATTTTCAGTGTGAAGATATATCTTTCACATTTTTAATAGTTTTATGTCACTGATTTGAGTTGATCCAAAATATCAATAAAGGAAAGTAAATTTTAAAAAATTTTAATAAAAATAATTTTGATTTGAAGAAAAATTTTAATTTGTTTTCAGACAGCTTCAAAGATTAAAAAACTAATTTTACATCTGTTTAATCAATTTTTAAACTGTACTTACTGCCTATTAACTTACTTATAAATCTACTGTTTATTTTAGATTAAGCTATTTAATATAAAATGTGTATAACTGTCATTACTAAAACTCACACATTGTATTATTATTTTTTTAATTAAAATTTAAGTCTATATGAATTTAGAGAAAATTTGTATGAAATAAAAACTTTTATTATTTAAATTAAGCCTTTGAAAAGCTAGATATGCATTGTTTGTAGAATTTTCAGGAAATAACACGTTTTTAAACTTAATGAAATTTAGAATAAAATTCACCGGGACATTGTATTTAATATGATCTGTATCTTTCAATTGGCTTCCTTTTATTGTCTGTCTGATTTTAAGAAATGAGATGGTCTAAGAAGTTTAGCAAAATATTGTTCAACAAGAATCAACCATATCATTTTTTAACTGAGCTTGTATTAAAGATCATTATCTAAAGAATTATTGATCTTTTGACTATGTGTAGAATTTGAACTGTTATTTATCTGCATCAAGGCATCTATCATCTTAGAGATTCTCACAATCATCTGAGTTTGTTACTCATATGTTTATCATTTTGTAGGTTTTGCTCATATTTCTAACAAAATGTAATATTTGCTTTATATTCCATTGCTAAAGTAAAGATGATGATTTTATACAAAACAATATCTCCATGCAAGTAGGAAATGATATAATGAAATGCATTTGGCATTGGAACATTTTAGATTGAAATGCTTGATAACTGACCAAATCATATAGGAGATATATTTGTAATAGTATCACTTCTAGAACTTACATGGATAGGCTGAAAACTAATGCACACTTGCTTGTAGAACACAAACAAAAACAAATAGCAAGATCGGGCAAAAAGTACATTAAAGTACAATTCTTAAGCTTCAAAATCATATATTTATTTTTCAATATAGTCACTGTTAAGGCTAACGCATTTCTCCCAACACGTAACAAGTTTTTTCATTCCGTCATTGAAAAATTCTTCAGACTTTTCTCGAACAGACAGCTGCCTTCACCTCATCATCTGAGGTGTAATGATCACCCTTGAGATCTCTCTTGAGTAGAGGAGAAAAATAAAAATCGCAAGGTGCAAGGAGAGTGTGGAATCAGTTCAAACTTCAGGTTTCACAGAGCCTCTCCACTTGCACGCGAGGTGTGTGGACAAGCATTGTCATGTTGCAAGATTATTGGCGCCAGGCTGCCTCTAACATGACAAATTCAACATCGGAGGTGTTTGAGTCTGTATGTACTGAGAAGAATTAAACATTACAATTAGGGGCAACGGTAATCGTGTGTGGCAGTGATCAGATGTTCACTGCGTGTTTCATCAACAATTATGGCTTTTCCAGGCTTGCAACCACAAAATTTTATTATCCATCGATTTACAGTAGACCTATCAACAGCATTGTCACCATAAACAGCCTTTAAAAGACGATGAATCCCAGTAGGAGTCACTTTTTCAGCAGTTAAAAATTAGATAATGGCACGCTCTAATTTTTAGAACACATCTCCATATTTCCGCTTCTCAAAATATACTGAATGAACACAATAACCTCAAACTGTGCATGTGCATAGATGGGGAATGTTACTTCCATATGCCACCTGGCGTGCTTCTGATCATTTTGAGTGAGTGAGAACAGAATCATTTAGAGTAGAGTGAGAACAAAATCATTTTGTTCTCACTCTACAAGCATGTGTGCAATACTTTTCAGCCTACCCTCATAGTTGCCAAATTTTTATTCTATGGATTTAAATTTATTTTTGAAATTATTTTTTATACAGTATATATCTTAACATTTTTTAGTTTAACATCTGAAAATATGTAATATTCCTCATAAATTTTTTTTAGAATGCACCAGAAGATTCAGTATTTATTTTGCATGCTTGTGCTCACAATCCTACTGGTGTTGATCCCACAGAAGAACAGTGGAAAGAAATAGCTAAAGTAATGAAGGTATGCTATTTATCAAAGAAATCAGTTTGATTTTTATTAAAAACTGAAAATAACTAGATTCCTAACTTTTTTTTAATATTTCATATATAGGAAAAGAAATTATTTCCTTTTTTTGATTGTGCATATCAAGGTTTTGCTACAGGAGATTTGGAACGTGACAGAAAAGCTGTACAATATTTTGTTTCTGAAGGCTTTGAATTATTCTGTGCTCAGTCATTTGCAAAAAATTTTGGTCTCTATAGTAAGTATTTCTCTGTTAATATTTTATTTAATATATTATATACAAAAAGTTAATTCCAAATTCTTCTTATAACAAACCTCTCTATATGGAAGAAATGATAATCCCTGGTTAATGTAGTATACAAGCATATGTGTTTATTATGCTATATAAAGAACAAATTTCAAAATCATCTGGTAAATTTAAGGTTTTAATTCCCTACTTACAGATTTGATATTAAAAGCTAATGCCTATTAAATGGCAAAAGTTTTAGGCTTAGCTTTTCTTTGTTACAAAACAATGGTTTTTGCAACTACAGTATGATAAACATTTTGCATGAGCTTCAACTGATTTCTGGTAACACTTCCATGAGTACAACAGACTGCAGTGTCATTAAAAATGGTTTATGGTGGAAGTGTACAGAGATTAAAGAAGTGCCGTAACATTTTGTTATTTTGTCCATGCTTATATTTCTAAGTTTAAACTTATTTTTAAAGGAATTTTATACTTATAAAGTTGTAACTGATCATTTGTTGTTGTTCTTAATATATAGTATCAAACATTTAATATATATATATTGAATTCTCTTAAATTTTTTAATTAGAAAATTACATTATTAATAAGCAACAAACTAATTTCCTGTATAGGATGTTGAACAGAAAATTCTACTTTGTAAATTTCCTATCCTATTTAGCAGCTTGTTGTTTTTAATTTTAAATAATAAATTATTTGATATAAGATACAGTAGATCCCCCTATAACACTATAGATTGTAATGTACTATATTTTATCTTATCACTCTACAACGATTCTTGTACAGTACTGGAAAGAGCCGTTACCTAATGGGTACTTTACGTGGGTTCACGTTTATTGTTGCCAGGCCTGGACTTTTTGTATGCACCAGAGTAACTTAAGGACCAAGTTAGTCAAAAAACCAATAAAAATGTTTAATAAAGTTCTCGAAATAACTATGTACAATATTTACAACAAATCAACAAATTTATTCAAATAAAATCAATCAACAGTCAACAAATCAACAAATTTATTCAAATAAAATCAATCAACAGTCAACCCGACAAAACTCGATCTAATTCTAACTTAAAACTATTTCCCTTGGAATTCCGACAAATTCAAACCTTAACTTAGTTACAAACTTTCTTATAACTACAAATCCTAACCGTCACCTCAATTATACTAAGAACCTTTTTCTCAACACAAGACTTTGTCTATCCTCGATCCACAAATCGAATACTTCAATCGCCTTGGACTATTTTCCTATTGGACACCTCTTGTTCACTGCTACTAAGCACACCAATGCTTGTTCTTTGCAGGAGCTCACTACGCTTTTTATAGTGTAAGGTGACGTCACAGTTTATAAGTGAGACACTCCCCTCATTTACATACTTACATGTAACATTAACTTTTCTCTTGGTTATCTGGTAGCTTAATTCCCAACAATACTTTGTTAACCTTTTACATTATTTTGTTTAACAATTATCAGGATGTTTTTCTTCCTTTTAAGGTTTAACAAGTTCCTAAAGTCTTTTGTGGGGTCTTTCTCTCCCTTCAGTGCGGACTTACTATCTGCCACTCGGGCGTGCACTTGAGTGCGAGTGTTATCTATGGCTCTTTCTTTTCTTTGTCGTTGAGTTGGTTTTATCTTCTCCTTTTTAACTTTCTAAGGTGATGGGTGAGGAAACCTTCGTCCTAACTAAACATAAGCTCCAAACGAAAATATAATAAAAGCAAAATAAAAGTAACTAAAAATAACACTCGGACTTGGTTCATTACAAGATAATTCTGTGTTATATGAATTCCATGTTGTACGAGTCACTTAGATTTTACAAATACGTGAGCTGTTCACAGCCTGGCACATGTATCTGTAAAATCTAAGTGACTCATACAACATGGAATTCATATAGCACAGAATAATCTACAGTGTTATAGGGGGGTCTACTGTAGTGCTTACAGANGTCATTTCAGTTTTTGAACTTCAACAATTATATTTTAAAATCAATTACAGAATTATTGATGTATGAAAATTTTGAAAGCTAGCAATAAGAAAATAAATTTTATTATTTATGTATTCTAATTATATTTGTATGTATTTGCAGGGCTACTTTTCAGCTGAAACATGCCAATAGGTCTTACAGGCAAATAGCATTGAAAAGTATCAGAAGTATTAGTAGCCAAAACAAAGTACTGGTAGTTGCTCAGTAAAACAATTCTATATATTCAGTCACCATTATATGCATACAGTAGTAATTTTTTCTAGAGAAAGAATACTGTGTATTAGCTAATATGTTCATTATACCCTTTATTTTGTTATAATTATAAATAATATCTTTCCATAATTTAGGTCTTAGTAAATTATATAACCAAGCCCAAATCATATTACTAATCAAAAATCAGCTAGATTTATTATCAAGCTACATTTTGGCTAATTAAATTGCCAATAAACCTTTAGTCTATATTATGTAGCTTTTGTGTATTTAACTTAATTCCAGTATCAAATACTAAGTCAAAAATATTGATCACTGAATGGCCAAAGTGATAAAGGCATCGATCTGCTGTTCTGGGTACTTGGGTCTTAGTCCAGGTCAGGAATCTGTGATTTTCCATAGGCAGTCTGTCTTGGATTTGTAGGACCTGGTATCCCACTATCTGTCTTCCCCATTATGAGCCTAGCCAAACCATGATGGTAAAAAGACCATCTAATGCTACATAGAGTGGAGTTGTAAAAAAGAAAGTAACATGTCCAATTTTTAAAATTTTAGATTTCTTTTGCAAATTTTAAAATATAACGTTTCAAAATATTGTATATTGGTACTTATACAGTTCGTTAATTAAATTAGTCAATTTTTTGCAACTTTAGTGTCTGATCTGGATTATTTAAAAAAAACAGAAAAGAAAGTTTTTTCCAAGCCTCATTCGCTTTTAAAATTAAGATCAAGTTTGAGGGATCAGGGATCGAGTCTGAGCGAACGACCCTAGGAAGTTAATTAAATGACAGCTGGCTAAGATTCTTAAGGCGTCAGTCTGCACCCACCAGTGGCTAAGTGGATAAAACCACTGAACACTGATAGTTAGTCTAGCGTTCGTGCCTTGCAAAAGAGTAAGCCATGTGGAGTTTTTCCAGATTTCTTCACGTTAGTAACACCTAAATAGGAGCCAGTTTTCCACAAAAAACCTCTTGGGAGTGTGTCACGTTTCCATAATCGAATAAAACCAAACCAAGCGTCAGTATGCCGCTTTGGGTACCCAGGATCGAATTCGGGCAACCAACCTCCTGAATTTTTTGTGAGTACAGTTGTCCCTCTATAGTCCGACGTTTTTTAATCCGACATGCTCAGTAGTCCGACGCACCTCCCGTCAAGGTACCCGTCCCCGTTACGTGTCTGCTTGCACAGAAGCATGTCGCGATGTAAATCTCCCCATCCAATTCTTACTCGATGACACACATTTCGTGTGTTTTATGTGAGCAGTTCTGTTCGAACAGTTGGAGTAGAGAATATTGTAAGTTACTGCTAGCAAAACAATACGAAATATGTAATTATTTTCGGTAATCCGGACACTTTTGGTAATCTGACACACCTTTGGTCCCATACCTGTCGGATTATCAAGGGACAACTGTAGTTGCCTCGGATAAACATGGAACCGTCCCTCACGACCCCATTATTTCCCCCTATTGTGAGCCTGGCTTTTTTATTTGGTAAATTTAAATTAAATAAATTGTTTAGCTCTTAATATTTTATACGTTATTTATTTTAAAACTTTAAAGCATTTTTTATTTGACTTTTACAAAGTATTCGTCCGCAGTTTTCAATATTTTTACTGATTTGCACGGCACAATAGCGCTGAATTGAAAATGTACGAATATAAAATCGAAAGTGTTTTTATTTTTAGAATATTTTTTTAAGTTCAAATTATAATTTATTTATATTTATTATTATTTTTGAAAATAAAAGAAACTTCAGTATTTTAGTTTTTGATTTATTTTCTCTCTCTCCTAAGAGCTTTGAAAAAAATGAAATAAAACCAAATTTATTTTATTTTTCAAAAAATATTAATAATTGGTTTTCAATGATCATAATATAAATTTAAAATTATTTTTATAAATCAATTGCAATTTGAATTGAAATAAAAATATTCTAAAAATAACGACACTTTCGATTTTATATTTATACATTTTCATTCAGCGCTACTGTACTGTAAAAATAATAAAAGAATTTTTAAAGCTGCCGACGTCGAATGCGATTGGTTAATCGGATGAATTGAATATGACGTCGACTCGGGATAAGTCTTGATTTTTGTTTAGCAAATGCATCTTTGTGAAATTTTATAAATTATCGACTAAATCAAAGTCTTAAAAATGGGTAAAGTTTAACCATTAAACTAATTTCGTATTCTTATAAAGTGCTTAGTTATTAATTATAATATAGATGTTATATTTAGGCTTAGTAAGAGTCCATTGCCTTGTTTGATGTGTATTTACTTTGATTATCTTGCATTTCGAGTGCTTTTTAAGCCAATTATTGGCCAATACGAGTTTAAATCTCTCGTAATGATTTGTGATAAACGTTAATAGATTTAATATTTGTTACAAGATCTTGAGAGGTATGTATATTTATATTTAAATGCATTCAATTTATAATTGTTTGGATGTGATCTGTAGATGTCTGGTAAGGAGCTGAAAATATTTTTCTATACAAATCACATGCAAGTTTACATATTTGATTTTGATAAAAGGCTACAAACAAATTTATTATTTATGTATTTGTATAGGTGTAAATATACACAAGATATATAAAGAAAAATGTTAATTTTTGTTACCGAGTGTTCAATTCAAAATTTACTCTCCTGATGTTGGGCGAAAAAACCTGAAAGAATTACAGTAATGTAAATCCAGTTAATTTGTTCTAGACACTCCAAAATACATACCAAAAACACATTTCGTAGAGAATAAATATAGTGTTTAATACTAAAAATGATAGGAAATTAATATTAAATGAATATAAAAGTGGC